ATAATTGCAGTCCTAAGTATGAAATCGTCCAAATTATAATTGCATATTGTTATTCTAAACTGTTTCCCAAAATTGATCGCCTTGAAGATCATAAAAAACATTTTATTAAAATCAAATATGTCAATAAAGGTTTTGTTTTTGTAAATATTGCCGGTATTTTTAATGATCATTCTGTTAAAGAACAAATTCCTGTTTATTTTGATAATACTGAACTCCCTCTTATTTGTTATGTTTACAAAAAATCTACCCGGAAATATGTGTTTAATTATAGCGAAGTGTGTAAAGATGTTAATATCAGTGACAATACACCTACTTCATGAAATTGCAGTAATTTCGAATACATTTATGGCCCAAGTTCCCCTGTTATAACAGGAGACCTTAACATCGTTCATGACCGAGAGTTGAAATCATTCCTCAGTAAAGGACCTAAATATCGTCCCCCGTCAATTATTAATTGGAATGAGTGTCGTAACATCATCCACGACTCACTCCGTACTTACTGCTCGAAATGGATAAAACGAGAAAAAGCTGACAAAAAATCCTTAGATTCTTTTTTTAATTCAGCAATGAACATATTTGATATTCGTATTAAACCTTTTTAAGAACATTTTACTCCTAACAACAACCATAATAGCCCTATTTCTCGTATCTAACATAAGCTAAAAGAGCTCGCCAAGGAATTTGTTTTTGTCCCGGCTGATAAGGCTGCTAATAATTTCATTATTGTTTGACGTAAATTTTACATTGAGGTTCTGCAAAAGGAAATCACGAATTCACCAACATTCCAACTGACTCCAATTTCGGAAAATGACATCAGTAACAAACATAAACTTTTATATACCTCTTTACAAGCAGAACCAAATACAATGAAAGTTCCAACTATGTACCGGCTTCCGAAGCTGCACAAAACACCTTACAAATATAGATTTATTTTGTCTTCAAGCCACTACTAAACTGTTTATTCTACTTACTAGTACATTTGGTACAATCAAAGACCTGGTAATAAATTGTTCAAATAAGGCCTTTGAAAATAGTGGAATTAATTACTTTTGGAGTCTCAAAAATTCGTTGGAAGTACTTGATAAATTGCATGCTTATATTGGTGATTTCGAATCTGTTCAACGTTTTGATTTTTCTACCGTTTATACCACTTTGCCTCATAATCTTATTAAGAAAAAATTCACGAACCTAATTAGATGGGCATTTAAAAAGTCAGAATGCGAATATATATGTTCTAACTCTTTTAGGTCATTTTTTAGTAACAACAGACAAAAGAACTATGCCAATTGGACCTGCTTTGATACGATAACTGCCCTTGAATTTTTACAAGATAAAATTTTTGTTCGCTACGGAGATTCTGTATATTGTCAAGTTATCGGAATTCCAATGGGGACTAACTGTGCACCACTTATTGCAGACCTGTTTCTGTATTGTTATGAGTTACGATTTATGACTAAAATCAGCAAAGACCCATCGAAACAACATCTAATACAAAAATTGAATAACACTTTTAGATATTTGGATGATGTATTGGCTCTCAATAATGACTTCAGTGTGTACACTAAAGAGATTTATATAAAGATAAAAAAAGAGACATATCCAGCTGAACTGACTTTAAATAAAGCTAATACTAACAATGAACACTGCCCTTTCCTGGATCTTGATATCTATATTTTTAACGGGAAGCTTAATACCAAAATTTATGATAAAAGAGATGATTTTTCATTTCCTATTGTTAATTATCCATTTTTAGATGGTGACGTTCCCTTGTCAACATCTTATGGTGTTTATATATCTCAACTTGTTCGATTCGCTCGTGTATGTAACAACATATTCGATTTTACCGAAAGAAACCTCTGTATTACTGAAAAATTACACAAGGGTTTTTGATATCACAAATTAGTCAAAACATTTACTAAATTTTATCATCGGTACAAGGACATCATTCGTAAATATAAATCAACATGCTGACATCTTATACGTTCAGGTATTTCACATTCAATCTTTTATGGTAATATTCTATACAAAGCACAAAAATGTCGACATTCACCTCAAAAGCTAACCAAACCTTTAAACAGACTTATTCAGAAAGGATATAGTTACGATACTGTTGTCAGGTCATTAAAGATGGCATATTTTGGTATTAATATTGGTTCACTCATAGGGTCTTTGCATCGGAAATAAACACATTTATTCTAAAACCAGTTGTTGGCCTGATACGGGTTATGTTCTTCTCATATATTTTATGATGGTATGATACTAAACCCCTAACGGGAAGGATTGTGATTCTCATATGATGAAGACATAATCTTTCAATCAGTTTAATTGAGGTATGGAGCTGGCATGTCAGTAACTGCTAGTAGTCCTTTGTTAATTCATGTATCATTGTCATTTTGCTTAGTTTCTTTTGTTACCTATTCTAACATCGGACTCGGACTTCTTTTAAACTGAGGTTTACTGTGCGTATTGCTGTGTGTTTGTTTATTCGACATTGGCTAGAGGTTTAGGGGGAGGGTTGAGATCTCACAAAACATGTTTAACCCCGTCGCATTTTTGCGCCTGTCCCAAGTCAGAAGCCTCTGGCTTTTGTAAGTCTTGTATGTTTTTTTCATAATTTTAGTTCATTTATATGTTTTGGAGTTTAGTGTGACGTCCATTTTCATTGAACTAGTACACATTTTTGTTTAGGGGCCAGCTGAAGCGGGTGCGGGATTTTCTCGCTGTGTAGAAAGACCCATTGGTGGCCTTTGGCTGTTTTCTGCACTTTGGTCGGGTTGTTGTCTCTTTGACACATTCCCCATTTCCATTCTCAATTTTATGCATTCGAGACCGATAGTAAGTATTTACAAACTTCTTTACCTTCATACAAACTAAACATGCTGCACTACATTTTATTGGTTTGTAAGAAGCTTAATTTGATGATAAACCTGATAATATATTGTATGTCCATAACTGATATAAAAACAATTGAACAAAAGTTATTTACATTAGATCCATATCTTTAATGTGTTGAATTAACTTGAAGATAACAAGGACAAAGTAATTCAAAAATGATTTTTTTTTCAAACAAAACCGATATTGACAAAATTTGGTGAGCAACACAAACAGACATAGTCTAATAGGTTAATGTGACAATTAATGGGATCCAGCTGCCAACATACATCACATACATACAACACAAATGTGTCTGAAAATGTGTGTCAGCGCTGAACGTTGTCCACTGGATAAGAAAATTAAAGAACGGGAGAGATAGTTTCCAAAGAAGAAAAATGCACTAGTTTACATAAAACACATTGTTTTTTATAAATGACCTGTAAGAAATATTTTACTATAAGCTACATTGTAAAAGTACATGAATTTAAACTTCGTATTGGATTTTGATAATTGTTTTGAATTGAGCGCCACTGCCAATATGAGTCTTATGTGGATGATACGCGCGTCTGGCGTACCAAATTATAAGACTGGTATCTTTGATGAGTTTTTTTAAAAAGTACTTATTTAATTTTAATCATTCTACATATAGTGCCAGATGAGAGCAACCTTCGTGTTTTAAAAAAATGAAAATATTCATGAACTGTAAATGAATTGCAATGGGATGTTATATTTCACTACCAGTGTCCAAATATTGACTAATGGGAAAATTCTACTGACCAGGACACACAGTCAAACAGCAATTGTACATGGCGTTCGTAGGAAAATTAGAGACACAGACAAGACAAGGTCGATATATAACTTCCTTTTTTAGTTTTAACCTTCGATTTTGTCATTTTGAAAACAAATTACGTAGTTGCATAAATGAGATTTCCAGGTATTTCACCCTTTTTACCGTTAAATTCTGTTTCAAATTATGTCTTCTTGCATCGTCAATATCGGTTGTCTTTAAGTGATGTTCTCAATTTTATGAATATTATCTTAAGATATCTATTTAGGAGACTGGAACTGCATATTGAAGATACCTTATACACGTGCAAGTCTGTGCCCGATCTTCCTGATGAAATTATATATAATTGTGATTTTTTGTGCTTCATTTTTAAACAAATCCAATACCACTGTCTACCTTTACTTTGAAAAAAAACTACATTTCAGAACGAGTAAACGTACACATTACTACGTATAATTAATTTTAAACGTGCTACTAGTGGAGCGAGCCGGATCTGTTTACCATTCCGGAGGACATGAGATAAGACCAAATTGTTTGTGGGTTCGTGTTGTTTATTAATTATTTGTGGATTTCTTTTTGTCTTTTCGTCATCTCTCGTTTTTGCCATGGTGTTGTCAGTTTCTCTTCGAAATATGACTTTTAAATGTCCCATTGTTATCTCCTACCTTTTTACCCTATACCTCCGGTTTTAGGTTCCAGGTAAGTAGATTACTTCCGATTTTAGGTTCCAGGTAAGTGGATTTCTTCCGATTTTATGTTCTAGGTAAGAAGATTACCTCCGATTTAAGGTTCCAGGTAAGTAAATTACTTCCGATTTAAGGTTCCAGGTTAGTAGATTACTTCCGATTTTAGGTTCCAGGTAAGTAGAATACTAAACTGATATTATATCTGTTATTTTCCAGTGCAATAACCAGATCACTATTGAAATGAATGTCCGTGTACAAGGCTACATACACATGGATATTTGAAATTATAAGGTTAAAAAAAAAAACAAAACAACAGGTTGATATGATAATTTAGAGAATAATGGAAAATTTAGTTATCTGTTGAAATCGTCCATCAATCCAAGCTAAATTTTGAATATCTCGCTTGAAACAGGAACAATAGCGTTTATATGATATGATGTTTTTTCCATTAGAAATATAACTATAACTTTGTATGACAATCGCGACGATACAAAGAACAACAAAACGCAGGAACAGCTGTAAGGCCGATACCCCAAAACGGACATTATTGCTTTATAAACATTTTACATTGTGCATCATTGTTTTATTTCAATTTTATAATGATAATGTATCAGTTTACCCAATAAAATATCAACAGAATTTTTTTAATTTTTTTATTAATAACGAATATTCATATCTTGATATAATTTTCATATCTGTCAAAGTATGTCATAAGACACCCATACATCATATCAATACAAGTTTGATAAGTAAAAACAAAAGAAATGTTAAGCATAATACATGGACTGATTCTTTCCTACTTATTAATCGACTACGTGACCTTTTGTATTCTATTATTGATATAACTATACACAGGACGTCTGGTATAACAAGTGCAAGACTTCGTATTCTTTTGAATTGTTTTCCGTCCATTAGTACCAAATGTTCAAAGAACTGATCTAAACCACCCACAACAATGTGCACTAAGTTAATTGACAAAACTCCAATCAAGTGGTTCGGCGTAATATCATTTTCATATGAGCACATGCGCACAATTATCATGAAGGATACCAGCTCTGTCACAGTAAAAAACATTTGATGGACGAACTGTTTGTAGAAATCATCATTAAAATAGTTGAGATATACCCACCAAGAAAAGTACTGTGGATAAATACTAAGTATTAATAGAAAAAGCATTGAATATCTAAGATTTCCTTCCACGTATAACCGCAACAAGTGTTTGACTAACTCATAAAATGCCAAAACTGCAGCCATTGTTATCGTCCACATACTGAAAGTTTGTTTAGTAGCATTAAAATACATGTGTTTGTATCCAACTTTTTTCTGATTTTCATATGAACCTAAAATATAAATCAGATAATACATGTACCATGGCAAGTTTGTTATAGTACATGTAGTAATTAATTTGTGAACAAAAGGAGAATCAGAAGTATATTTATCATATTTTATAATAAATTTCTATTCAACATGTTGAGCAACAATAAACTATTCATTTCAAAATATTACATAACGAAATGTAATAATCACATACATAAGCAAATATATTGTCAATCTAATTTAACTTTAACCATTTGATTTATCATGAATAACAAATCCGAATATCAACAAGCAAAGGAAAACCATTGATTTGAATTGTCATGTGATCGTTCTTAATTCGTGATCAATTTGACTGCTGTGTTTGTTTGAATTACTTCTGAATTCATAGCGAGCGTAAGGTAAAGTGTCGACATATTGTATGTATTAGAAGAGGATTTGGTTCAGCACGTGCCTGATTTGAAAGTCAAATTGAATTTGAATTTAAAACTAAAAAAAAATTTGAATCATTAATGTCCTATTAAATGCACTCTACTCAGGGTTATATACAATGAAATTTCCAGACTTACGGAGATATAAATAAATGTCGTTATTTATGAATTTCGAAGGTTGTACGCCAAATCATACATGTATGGGACATACGAGTTCATTTCTATACTGAACTAGAGTGTGAATGCTTTTTAGCATTAAATAAGAAATTTGATTCAAAGTTTTTCCAGGTAAACACATAACACATGAAAATTATTCATATTCGGTAATATGAAGTTGTGGTATTCTGCATATTTTGCGTCTTTACATCGCTTGGTAAAAAAAGTGAAAAAATTCCATTAGTATAATGTTCATCACATTTTGTTATAAATATGCATCACTGAAAATAATAGCGACCATTATTGCAAAATTACTAAATTTTTTCCCAAATGACAGTACAATTTGTAATTAAATTACGCTAATAAAAATGAATTAACTATTCATTCAAATAAAAATTCTTTATTACACTGTAGTAGGCTGGAAAACTCTTGCATTGTAAGGCAAACTTATTTTAAAAAAAAGCTATGATTCATATGAGCCTTTTTAAAAGTTTACAATATAACACCATGGTAAGATGTTTGAAATTGCGCTTATCGGTACTAACATTGATTTTGAATTTTGATATACAGTTATGAAAACTTATGGTCCTACATCCTGTCGATACTATGTACATATATTTTGGCATTGCAAGCGTTTCTCATACTGTTTATGACGTCTTTACACTAAATCCGTTGGATGTGTCTTGATTGATACTTCAGTCTGGGAGAACATGATTTATTTGTTAGTTGTAATTGACTTCGAACTAGGTTTTACTAACTACACGTACTGTTAGATTTGTACTTTGTTTTTGTTGTCTTTATATTAGTCTGTTTTGTGCTTCTAGCCAATCTCATGAATCAAGTCATTTCCAACTTTTTTTAACAGTTTGTTTATGTGTTGTGCTATTACACATATGTCCCTGGTTAGAGTTGAGCGCTCACAAACATGTTTAACTCCGCCACATTCTTGATGTGGCTGTTCCATGTCAGGAGCATATAATTCAGTGGTTGTCGTTGAAGGCTGTCTGTCATTTGGTATGTTGTTTATTGTTTTCTTACAAATCAGACCATTGGTTTTCTCATTTCAATTGTTTCACATTTTTTCTTGTCTGATCCTTTTGTGCATGACTATACAGTATGTGTTTTCTCATTGTTGAAGGTCTGCGTACGGTGATGATCTGTTGTTGCTTACATCAACGTCATTTTGGACTCTGATGAAAAGCTGTCTTATTGGCAATAATACCACGTCTTCTTATTTTTATATACATTATACATTTATAATGTCAATGTCTACACACTATAAACGTAATAGCCAAACTTAATACAGTTCCTATAACTCGACTTAATTTGTATCAACAATCCTTTCCTCCCACTACTTCTCAGGCTCTGGAACAATTTATGTATAGCTATACTTAATTTAAGTTCTATGACAATCCATACCTTTAGAAAGTATTGGTAACAGAGGTTTCAACAGTACTATAAACACATATACATTTTATTAACTGTTCAAGTTTCAGTTTGGGATGAATTTGTAAAGGAAAGCTTTTGACTAAGATATTTATCAAACATATTGTTTGTCTTGAGAGATTTTAAATATTTAAACTTTATTGTCAATAATTTCTTAATTTGCAGTACAATTGACAAATTTTCTGGTTTCCTGTTTTCGGAGATTTCATGATAAAATCTTAGTTTTTGCTTCAAAATAATAATTTCTGATCATGATATATAGAGTAATAAAACATGATTTTCCATCAATAACATAAATATTAAAATTTACCAGTTTTCATTGGTTTTTTTTATTATTAAATAACGATGATTTTAACCATACTTATTCAATTCCACCACTATTAACTTCGTACACTTTCGTATATCAAATATGATGACACCCTGGACACAAAAACACTCAAACAGTTTATGTTGAAATTTTTGTTTAAGTCTTTTGATGACGAAATGAATGAGCGAATGAATCACCAAACTAGTAGTCAGCACTTCTGTGTTGACATGAATTATCATTGATTCATAAATTATCTGTTTACAAAAGTTTTAAATTTACAAAATATACGGATTTTCTACCCACGTAATAGATAACCTTAGCTGCATATGACAAAACTTTTCGGTGTGCAAATTTTTAATCCTGGAATCTATGAGGAGTCTATTCATAACTAAGTTTTCATTATCCATGATCCCAATGAAGCGGTAGAGATAACGAAAAATGCTTGTCGTCTTTGCCCGTGAATCTGCCCCCAAGACACATACCAAAATTCCTCCTACGATACACCATACAAGTATAGTGTTTACATTGTGCCACGTTTCAGCCGTCTTGCTGAGATTATCATAGGTGTAATGTCAAGAAAACATGTCACCTCTAACTAGAGACACATTTTTCTTACTTGGAGCAGACACTACTTTACTCTTCCTCTTAAAAATGTGCTGTGCTTGAGGGAACGAAGCAAACACAACATTTAAAGTCTTTGAATTAACTTGGTTGAAAATCAAACCGGGACCTCTCGCACTTGAGGTGTTAACACTTCCACTACCTCAATTGACAGATAAACAAGTCAAACCTTACCTTAAAGTAATGTTAATTGATTGTTGGTTGTGAGATATACAGCAGCAAATAATATAAGCATTACTATGAAAAAAAGTAAAATTTTAATTTAAACGGACATACCTTTAAACGTTCTTTGCCCATGAATCTGCCCCCAAGACACATACCAAAATTCCTCCTACGATACACCATACAAGTATAGTGTTTACATTGTGCCACGTTTCAGCCGTCTTGCTGAGATTATCATAGGTGTAATGTCAAGAAAACATGTCACCTCTAACTAGAGACACATTTTTCTTACTTGGAGCAGACACTACTTTACTCTTCCTCTTAAAAATGTGCTGTGCTTGAGGGAACGAAGCAAACACAACATTTAAAGTCTTTGAATTAACTTGGTTGAAAATCAAACCGGGACCTCTCGCACTTGAGGTGTTAACACTTCCACTACCTCAATTGACAGACAAACAAGTCAAACCTTACCTTAAAGTAATGTTAATTGATTGTCGGTTGTGAGATATACAGCAGCAAATATTATAAGCATTACTATGAAAAAAAGTAAAATTTTAATTTAAACGGACATACCTTTAAACGTCTTTGTTAGGTAACGGATGTTTTGTTAATAAGCTCCATGCTCAATTTGAGATGAACTTGAATATGTGTCTATATGATATTATGCCCTCTCACATTATCATATTTCCATGTTCAGTGGTTAACGAAATCTTGGTCAAAATCCTTATTTGAAAAAATATAATATCATAATATTTTACTATACGAGATAGGTTTTGCCAATTGTTGAAGACCACATTGAAACATGTAACCGTTTACATCTTTGTTCTTTTGTATTTGTAGATTGTTTACTCGTAGGTAATCTAACAACAACTGTCTCCTTGCTTTGGACAGGAGCATAAAAACTGTGGGGAAGTTAACCTGCGACAATTGGAAAGCCAGATCTCTAGAACAAACTGAGAACAAACTGTAAAATTAGTTGGAAAGGGACCGACTCACCAGATCGGTATACAAGGCACAATTAAGAAAAAATCACGAAAAACATAACGTAACGAGCTACTCGCACTCATAAAAACCAAGTTCTAAGCCCAATTTCAACTTACAAACAAACCATGTTTCACCGACTCAAATATTAACAAGTGTGTACACCTCCACAACGGATTTATGATTAGTTGAAATGTAACTAAATAATGTAACAAACCTTTAAAAACAGTGTCCCAACAACTACAAGTACAGTTATTATAGGAGACAGGTTTCTTGTCTGGAACCCATATTTTTGCATACATGATTCCTAAACAAAAACAACATATTTTAATAAAAAATTTGAAAAAAAACCAATAATGAAAGTTGTCTCTTATACTGTTGAGAGTAGATAAAACCAAATAGTGTTCGTCGATTTACAGAAACAAATGGAGGTGTAATTTAAAATCTAAATCAGAAAATGTGATGTAAATAAAAGAATATTCCAAAAAAAAATATTGGAGCGATTGATACCTTTCTTTTATGCATATTTTTTATAATTTAAATGACGATATGTGCAAGATTTGGACGGTTTGCAATATTACAAGTATTAAGTGACGCACTTTTTTATTGCAATATTCGTCTTCTAAATATTAGTTAAAGACAATCAAAGTGGAAACTGTTATTGCTTAACAACATTTGACAACAATCCCCGCCCCCCCCCCCCCAAGAAAAAAAAAATACCGCAAACCATAAAAATCTTGCTTTTCAGTTTATTTCATAAGTAATACCAGTTTTGATACATGGTTTGCAATGGGCGTCGTATACAGAGTTTTGGGAGTACAAAAGCCGCTAGTTCATATTTAATATGGATCTAAAACATATATGTATATAAGTTTTCTATATTTTCGACCAGATGCTTGATAATACTATATCTGTTTCATTAATAAAAATGAAACAAACAAACAAACAAACATATTTAGCCAGTTTCTGAAATTCCAGCTCGGGAATTGCTGACCCTTTCGAAGCATTCTTGTTTTGCTTTTAAAATCGGTTTAGTATACATGTTACACTTTGTAAATAGAGCTGTTTCACAAACCACGCCGCCTTTGGGCAGATATATAACATTCATAATAGATATTTTGTTTTGTTTACCTACTTGTTCCCAGATATGATCTCTATGTTTCATATCATAGAGACACAACTTAGGAAGTTTTACCAGTATAATTACACATAGATAGCGGCCAAAAAGATTTGGACTGAAGACAGAGGCAGGATTGGATACTTTGTACAATCTTAAATATTGAAAATATTAACTATTAAACTTTACATTTATAGTATTCTGAAATGCATTTTATGTTAGAAAACATGCACATAGGGTAATCTGACAATGATTAAAGTCTTCTTTCCAAATTCTTTAAAAATTGAAACAGGGGTGGGGTATGAAATGTACTATAAAAGAAATGTTAGAGTAATGCAGTGATTTCTTTTAGTATATGATTTTGATAAATAGGTATTGTTGTGAGAAAAAACTGTTTTTTTAAAGACTAATATATTTTAATAAATGTTGGTATAGTTTGCTTTTTGTAAATTAATCTGTTTCACAAACCTCGCCAATTTTGGGGAGACATATACTATATTCATAAATATTTTGTTTTGTTTACCTACTGGTTCCCTCTATGTTTCATCTCATAGAGACACAACTTTGGAATTTTACCAGTATAAATACACGTGGATAGCGGCCAAAGTACATTCTGAAGGAGACCCAAAGTAAAGGGAGGGGTAGTACAGAATTTTAGTATAAGTTTACACTCTTAGAAGTTCGAGGCATACAAATGTTGAAAATATGCCACACAACCCCATGTTTTGACCTTAATAAAAAATTGTAGTTTATATATGAACCTTCCATTCTAGGACATATTTTTTAGCGAAACTTCATAGTAAAAGTGGCACAGTTTTAGCCGTAAAAGGATTTCATATGGGAAATTGCATTGTCTATTTTTACCGAAGTGCAACCTTTAGTGGTATTTTTCTCTTACCTATATGAATATACGGCAATGTGACCAACAAGAAGAATCCTACCAGACACCTCGCAAAACTCGCTCCAAACAACATCCTTGTGGTATATCTGTCTTTAATCAAAACATTTATATTAATGTCCACATACTACACACACTACTGGAAGCAAATAACAAATTGGTTATTATTTATATTAACACCGGGACTTCAATTAACTTATAATTACCAATTACAAGGAAAATATTTTTTTTTGTATTTTAATGAGGTACCAATACAAACTTACAGCTATCATTTAGGATATTGCTAGTCACAGACTTTTTAAACCAGTTCGCATTGGAAAAGATGAAAAGGAGAAAAGATCCTTTCTAAAAATTTCCTTCGCCAACAAAGGTATAGATGCCATCAACTTGGGCAATATCCTTCATCATAAATCAGTTCAATCGAAAACACCTACCTATTTTAAAAATCAGTCTGTACCTATCATTTCTTATACCTGTACCAAACCAATTGCAACTAAAATTTTCAATTACAAACACGTGTTGCAGGATCTCAATATTGACGACTTCAAGTCTAAACCTCCTGATTGTACCTGTGCTAGTTCCCCATTCATATATAATCCGGCTGGCCACGTTATTACTGGTGACCTAAACATTGTCAAAAACACTTCTTTGCGAAATGTGTTATCCTAAGGCCCGAAATATCCATCAATTGGAAACACAACTTCAAAATACTGATGGATTCAGTCGAGGATTATGCCAGGCAATTGGTTAAACTCGAGAAAGAAGACGTAGATACTCTTTACGAATGGATTAAGGCTGTGAGGTCATTGATACAAACCGGAGTTTAAAAAACTGAGCGGGTTTATGAACACCAATGCTACATCAATCTTTAAAGACCTAAATGTTTTAAAACACCTGTCCTACCTCCATGACATATATGTTGTAGTCCCCGCAGATAAAGCCCCAAACAATATCGTTTTTATGTGTAATTCATATTACATAAACTGCTTGATAAATGAATTAGGCAATTGAAAATTCACTTGGACATATACCCCCACGACATTTACCAAGGATAAAATCCTGGATAATCATAGGTCTGTTCTATGTTCCTTTATAATTTCAACCAACAATGAAGAACTGGATCTTCTTCCTTCGCTGTATTGGAAACCTAAACTACACAAGTGTCCTTACAAAGAACGTTATATTGCTGGGTCTGTCAAGTGCTCCACGAAACCTCTAAATTATTTATCAGCAATCAAAGCTATTGTGAAACTACCTATTCTAGAGGTCGTGTGGATCAGATGTGGATAACAAAAAAATTCTAAAGATCTTTTAGAGTACATACAGTTTAAGACTCTTTCATCTTGCAATAGTATTAAAACATTTGACTTTTCTACACTTTACACAAGTATTCCCCATTCCAAACTGAAAGACAAATTGAAAGAGTTGTTCATGCCTTTTTTCATAAAAAAGAATGGCTAGCGTAGATAACAGTTTCTTGTCTTAGGGAGGGATAAATCGTACTTTGTAAAAAATCACTCTGATTCAAACAAAAAATTCTATGAAACTGACATTATCAAGATGCTTGCTTTCTTGATTAACAACATATTTGTTACGTTTAGAGGACGTGTTTTCCAACAAACAATCGGCGTTCTCATGGGCACCAACTGTGCTCCTCTTCTTATCGACTTGTTCCTTTATTCATATGAGGATGAATTCATATCATACAGGAACTTCTTAGGAAGAAAGAGAAGAAGTTAGAAATATCCTTTAACTACACTTTCCGCTATATAGATAATAAAATTGAGAATGGAAATGGGGAATATGTCAAAGAGACAACAACCCAACCAAAGAGCAGACAACAGCCGAAGGCCACCAATGGGTCTTCAATGCAGCAAGAAAATCCCGCACCCGGAGGTTGTCCTCAGCTGGCTCCTAACTAAAATTGTGTGCTAGTTCAGTGAAAATGGACGTCACACTTAACTCCAAAACATATAAATGAACTAAAATTTAAAAAAAAACATACTAGACTAACAAAGGCCAGAGGCTCCTGACTTGGGACAGGCGCAAAAATGCGGCGGGGTTAAACATGTTTTGTGAGATCTCAACCCTCCCCCTATACCTCTAGCCAATGTAGAATAAACAAACACATAGCAATACGCACAGTAAAACTCAGTTTAAAAGACGTCTGAGTCCGATGTCAAAATAGGTAACAAAAGAAACTAAGCAAAATGACAATGATACATAAACGAACAAAGAACTACTAGCAGTTACTGACATGCCAGCTCCAGACCTCAATTAAACTGATTAAAAGATGTTCTCTCACAAAATAAGTCAAAATTTGGTGACTATGTTGAACGCATCTGTTCCATCGAACTTGAGATAAAGGATACAACAGATACAGTTAAGTCTGCCTCATATCTAGACTTACATCTAGAAATTGACAATGAAGGTCGGTTGAAAGCAAAGCCTTACGACAAAAGAGATGATTTCAGCTTCCTGATTGTGAACTTTCCTTTTCTATGTAGCAACATTCCAGCAGCGCCTGTATACGGAGTATATATATCCAAGTTGATACGATATTTCCATAGCCTGTGTTTCCTATCATGATTTCCTTCATAGAGGGTTGCTGCTCACAAAGAAGCTATTAAACCAAGAGTTCCAATTGGTGAAGTTGAAATCACCCCTCCGTAAATTTTACGGACGCCATCACGAGTTGGTTGACCGTTATGAAATAAAATTGAGAATGGAAATGAGGAATGTGTCAAAGAGACAACAACCCGGCCATAGAGCAGACAACAGCCGAAGGCCACCAATGGGTCTTCAATGCAGCGAGAAACTCCCGCACCCGGAGGCGTCCTTCAGCTGGCCCCTAAACAAATATGTTTACTAGTTCAGTGATAATGGACGTCATACTAAACTCCAAATTATACACAAGAAACTAAAATTAAAAATGATACAAGACTAACAAAGGCCAGAGGCTCCTGACTTGGGACAGGCGCAAAAATGCGGCGGGGTTAAACATGTTTTTTGAGATCTCAACCCCCCCCCCTAATACCTCTAGCCAATGTAGAAAAAACAAACGTACAACAGTACGCACAGTAAAACTCAGTTTAAGAGAAGTCCGAGTCCGATGTCAGAATAGGATACAAAAGAAAATAAACAAAATGACAATAATACATAAATAACAACAGACTACTAGCAGTTACTGCAGTGACATGCCAGCTCCAGACCTCAATTAAACTGATTGAAAGATTATGTCTTCATCATATGAATATCAGGCACAATCCCTCCTGTTTGGGGTTTAGTATTATATCATCATAAAATATATGAGAAGAACATAACCCGTGTCATGCCAACAACTGGTTTTAGAATAAATATGTTTAATTCCGATGCAAAGACCCTATAAGTGAATCAATATTTAAGCCAAAATATGCAATCTTTAATGACCTGACAACAGTATCGTAACTATATCCCTTCTTAATAAGTCTGTTTAAAGGTTTTGTTAGCTTTTGAGGTGAATACTGACATTTTTGTGCTTTGTAAAGAATATTACCATAAAAGATTGGATGTGAAATACCCGAACGTATAAGATGTCTGCATGTTGAGTTATATTTACGAATGATGTCCTTATACCGATGATAAAATTTAGTAAATGTTTTGACTAGTTTATGATATCGAAAAGATATATCTGTTTCACAGATGACGACGGATATTTTCCAATTGTCGTAACTACAATCTCGTCCCCTTTCCCCCGAATGTGACCTACCGACTTAGACATATCAACGGGTTTGTACTTACATGAGCAACACGACGGGTGCCAAATGTGGAGCAGGATCTGCTTATCCTTCCGGAGCACCTGAGATCACCCCCAGTTTTTGATGGCGTTCGTGTTGATCAGTCTTTGATTTTCTATGTTGTTTAATGTACTGTTGTTTCTCTGTTTGTCTTTTTCTTTTTTAACCATGGCGTTGTGTCAGTTTATTTTCGACTTGTGAGTTTGAATGTTCCTTTGGTATCCTTCGCCTCTCTTATATGTAGCGAATCGACATAATATAGTTCAAATCCCAATACTGTTGTGTAAATTTATAATGTCCGTCTATTGCCTAATATAAATTTCATTACCTACAATGTATTCACCATACAATGGATGGCAAACACTGGAACAGCAAATGCAAGAAGTAATATACACATTCCATATAGCCATATAGCGAACGATTCCAAGGGGACATTCAAAACTCATTAGTCGAGAGATATTGACAACACCATGGCAACAAAAAAAACCCCAAAAAACGAAAGATTTAGGTTAGGCAAACAGAATATAATAGGGAGATATGGTATGATTGCCAAAATGAAATGGATTTTTAAAAGCATTCACTGTCCGAAGACAACCCACTAAATTACAGGTTCCTGACTTGAGACAGGCACATACAGAATGTGGCGGAGTTAAACATGTTTGTGGGCACTCAAACACCCTAACCTAACACAACAACATAAAAACAAACTGTAAAATTCAGTTGGAAAGGGCTGGACTCATTTGATCGGCACGAAGCACAGAAACAACTAACTGTCAAAATAACTGACACAAAGAACCGATATAAGAATACTCGTTGTTACTGAAAGCAAGCTAGTTCAAAGCAAATAACAACTGATAAATTAATTATGTTCTCCCTGACTAAAGTTTCAATCAAAATACAGCCAACGGATTTAGCAAAACGACTGTCAGTGAAACAGTGTCACAAAACACTTCAAAGAAAACTAAATAGGGAAAAAGACGAACCCCATTAAAAACTAGGGGTCATCTCAGGTGTTCCCGAAGAGTGTGTAGATCCGGGTCTACTAGTAGCACCCATTGTGTTAATCACGGTCAGTACAAAATTGCCGACGAGTCTCATTCTGCGATGTCACATTCGAGGAAATAAGGACGGTTATGTAGTTACGACAATTGGACTATATTTGTGGTCATCTGTGACACAGATATTCAATAGCGGTCAACCAACTAGTGATGGCGTCCTTAAAACTTTCGAAGGAATGACTCCAACCTAACCACTTGAACAGCTTACATGTTCACAGTAACCCTTTATCACACAAGTCATGAAAGGAAAATTGTATTTAACTTGGAGATATAAATTCCATATGCAGGCGCTGTTGGAATTTTGCTTCATAGAAACGTAGAGTTCACCATTGGAAAGCTGTACTCATCCTTTTTATCGTTAAGTTATATTCTCAATAGACCCTCATTGTTAATTTCTATCTAAAAAGGGATCCAAACTTTCCTTTAACCTTAGGCGAAATATACGCGGATCTATACATTTCCTAAAATGCATTACAAGAACATGAAGAATACAAAACAACAATTATATTATGTTGGAAAATTATAAATTAACATATTTTTGCTATGTTTTATAGCTCAACATAGGATTATCTCCAATCATACATGATTACAAATGTGTCAGGTACTCTAAAATATATAGTTTCTTAACAAAATGCAGGTGGTTTTAAGAGAATTAGCCTGTTTTATTGAAAAGGTGTATGTGATGTGAATTTAGGAGCGCAAATCCTTAAAATATCAATAAACAGAAAAGAACAGAAACAAAATAAGACATGTGTCATAAGATATGTTAGCATGGTATATTCAAAATACACTTTTTTACTTTATAAGTTGAAGCCTGGTAAAAATAATATACAAATCAAAATTAAATCAATTTGAAACACTTACAAATGTGTAACTGTTTATAGATGGTTCCTTGAATATCCTCTTGATATAATTGAACTATACATGTTTAATTGTCGATTCGAAGTATTTATGGAGAAGGAATCATATAACACCTTCGGCTTCATTTTTAACTGGAAAGTTTATAAATTTTGTTTTGAAGTGTAACTTTTTACCTGCACAAATTAACAAACAAGTTTTCAAAGTGTTTAAAATTCAAATTAAAAATTCAAAAAGTTAAAATCTTTTAATTTATTTAAAAGCCAATCATAAAAATAATTGTACAGTATTGAATGTATGAATGGAGACATTGTTAACTACTACCAAACTGTTATGCTTCGCATGCTAAGTGAACATTTTATTGAGACTAACTTCATGACAACAATTTTATAATACATTTTCTGCAAGTAGACAGTGGGAAATCTAGTGAACTAAAACAAAAGAAATTCACTCTTCTTATGATAGAGTCGAGAAAGTAAATAATAAAAAAAAAACGCAGGTGACGATACTGATCAAAAGTTATTTCTTAATAATAATTGTACATTTTAAAGATATTATTTGTTAAAATGTGTTAAAAATATACATGCAAATACACGATGTTTTATGTTCAGTATTTATCGGGATAATTGCATTAGAAGCTTGTGAAACTGAAATTTAAAAAAATTCCAATCTTTACTGCATATTGATAAAAAAAAAATTGGAAAGAATCATGTACATACAAAATCTAAAGATCTTTCGGGCCACCAATTTTCGGAGTGTTCCACAAAGTCCTTAGCATGTTACAATTTCCCAAAGTATACTTAATTTTTCACATCTAAGTTATTGAGCACACCGGTCTGCTCTTATCACATGTACATTCAATAGAGAAATATTGTCTTTTCGTGAATATAAAAAATTTAAAAGGGTGTCTGTGCATGTTAAGGAATTAAAGATAACTATTCTTATAAATTAGGAATCTTTCTACTATTTTTTATACAATTTTAAGAAAAGGTCGTCTCGATTTTTGTACATGTATTTGCAGTCTTCTCGATCTATTCACATTCAATGTTTACATCGAGATAAGGTCCGTTTGAATTTGCTTAGTAACTTATAATAATTTCAAAAGTGCCAATCTTTGCTGCATATCAATCGATTCCTTTGGAATCTTTTCCCTGACTTTTTCTGATCTAGCTGTTTATATATACGGATAATTAGCATGTTTCAAAGAGGTAAACAGCCAGTAGAAAAATAAATTGAAGTTGGTATGCAGGAATTTATTCGCATAGCAACATTTTAAACCAATTTTACATCAAGCTTCTATAGCCTGTTGTACTCGTCGTTTGCTACTTAAGGCGGGAAATGATAACATTAAATGGAACTTTTGTTTTTATTTCAACTTAGATCTATTTCTATTTTTACTATTACCAGAACATTTTCCCGTGAATCCATAATTGATAGCGTCCTTGCTAAAATGGGACAAACATTAAGAAGATCTAGTTTTCAGTGTTTACAGGGGAGGTTATATTATGTCACTAGATTTCCCACTGTAGATCAAAGAGTTGTTTGTATTGAAGTACAATTAGTAAACTTGAACTTTGTGTTCATATATATATATATAAAAAAAAAAGGTAAAATCACAAAAATACTGAACTCCGAGGAAAATTCAAAAAGGAAAGTCCCTAATCAAATGGCAAAATCAAAAGCTCAAACACATCAAACGAATGGATAACAACTGTCATATTCCTGACTTGGTACAGGCATTTTCTTATGTAGAAAATGGTGGATTGAACCTGGTTTTATAGCTAGCTAAACCTCTCACTTGTATGACAGTCGCATCAAATTCCATTATATTGACAACGATGCGTGAACAAAACAAACAGACACTATAGGTAAAAATGTCAAAAATAGGGGTACAGCAGTCAACATTGTGTTATCATCTTAATCACTATAAAAACAACCAAATGTAACAAAGAAGCACAAAAAGGCATACATCAAATTTAACATCCTCATTTTGTTTTTTTATTATACGATTTTATTTATCTATGTAAAATCCACCCATAAAGGATGGACGGTTTTAAGTACTGGCGTAGAATCGCGCGTTTGACGTCCCACAGGTAGATATAAAATAATTTTGTCGTTCAAAGTTTGACGGGATACATAACGTCACGGTACCGAAATTGCATCGAGTACCCAAATTGCACCTATTTAGCAAAAATAGCAGAGGAAATTTTACAAGTTTTCCTAGAGACTAAACAATTTGTATTTTTATTATTTGACACTATGCACGTCTTTCAACATAGGTAAATATATTTAAATATACACAAAAAGTTCACAGTCTATAAACAGATGGTGTTCACTGGAAAAAGTAAAATGTACGGAACCGTCGCCATGCGACGTCCACAAAAAGTCATCTTTTGAAAATTAGTAAATAAAATATGTTACAAACATTCATTTCTTAAAAAATAAATAGTAAGCATGGACTTATGTCAAATTGTTCTAAATATTTAAAGAAATGAAAGAAAATATCTGTTTTTCGACTTTTAAGGATGTGAATTTATGCATGGGTGCAATTTGGGTACTCCTCATTACAGAATCATTGATCGATTGGAGGTCTGTTCAAACCCATTTTTCTATGATTCAATATGGATTCAAAATTAAATTGGTGGAACCATATAATAAATAATGATACATCTACAAAATAAACACAGAATTGAAACTTTTGTCTAGATCATAAATAAACGTAGGTGAAAAAACTGTCAAAATAGGTGCAATTTGGGTACCCTCACGTTAAGTACAGAGTCACGTCAAATGGATATCACAAAAAACAGACTTAACAGTAAAAGTAATATTAATAAAGACAAATAAAAGAATACTATAACACGTTATTAAGATGATAAACAACGTCAGTACGCAGAATATATACTTCAAGACCATCGTGTATTATTTGTGAAGTTGATACGGAATATTTATCAACAAGGTCTTGGTACCTTCCGATGAACTTTTTTAGAAAAAGAACGAGACGTTCTTTGACATACCCCTGGTTCATCAACTTTAGGATATTGGAGATTACTCAGTGTCAATGTTATACCTTTGTACTTTATAAATTAACTCGTAGGTAAATAATAAAGAAGTCATCGAATATTCCTTATGCCGATATACAAAAAGATCCATACCACTGTTTTTTCAAAGAATCTGTCATAATAACAAAAAGCTCATTTTAGACTAGGAACTGAAAACTCAATGCTAGTAGCATATGTAAACATAAGAATTTTCGACGAAAAGCCGGGAGTGTCATCAGTCGTCCGGATAGTGTAAGCGTATTAAACTTCCATACGACCTTAGTTGTTTTGTGCAGTGGTCAAAGACGTTCATTAGTCAAATTCTGTAAACGAGCTCTTTTGACACTTTTCAAATTTTTGAGCATGCTTTCTTTATTCAAGAATTGAATGCTTCTTTTTGATATTTTATTGGGGTGTAAAAACATTGACCGAAGTACATTTTGTATGTAGCGCACCGGGCATCTTCAAACTAAAACTTGCGCACGATCAACGATTTTACGATCCTTTAAAATTACAAAAAGAAGCATTCTATTCTTATAATTACATTTTTATGTTTCACAATGAAATTACGAATTATATCAAATATTTCGTTTATTTTCGTATGCATTGTTGTCACGTTGTCACGGGAAGCATGTGCTGTCATCATCTTTTTGATTTCATTGAAAAATACAATCTACTTTTGGAATGCCTCTCGATTGTTGTCAGCGAATCAAAAGTATGGGTTCTTATGAAACATTTTAGGTGTCAGACCACCAATTCACCCACTCCAATTACAACAGAGCCCTTCTTTGACAAAAATTAGTGCTTTTGATGTCATTGTTCACTCAAGCTAACAAATACTTTTACTTTAGCCTGCTGTACTCGATTTTTTTTCTATTTAAGGAGGGAAATGATAACTTGAAATGGAAGTTTTGTTTTTATTTAGACTTATTTCTATTTTTACTATGTACCAGAACGTTTTCCCCTTGAATTTATAATTGATAGCGTCCTTGCTAAAATGGGATAAACATTGAAAAGATCTAGTTTTCAGTGTTTACAGGGGAGGTAATATTGTGTCACTAGATTTCCCATTGATATCAACATATGCATCAGAAGGTGACTCCAAACAACTTATTGGCTGGTTCAAAATTAATATATATGAAAGTCTATCCTAATAAATAACAGGTGATGGCAGTGTGACTTTAAGAAGAGCCCCACAATTATACATATTCAAAACTCCAATGTATCTTGTAAATATGTGGTAAAATTGTTGGGCACAGACATTGACTGTCAGTTAATTTTTGATTTACATATTATAAATTGTGTAGGAAGGTATCTCAACAGTCATCAGTTTAACAATTTGAAACGTTTGGGAACTTTTCTTTCAAAAGCAATTATATTTCATACATTTATATACCAGATCAAATTTAGTTTTTGCCAATTAGCTTGGCATTTTTGGACTTAACCCCCCTTTTTCATAAAGAAAGAAAAAAAAAGAAAAGAAAAAAGAAAGTAAAAACACCATATTTATGTAAGAAAGAGTACTTAGCCTTGTTTCATCACCATATATTTCCAACTTGTAGATAAAGCTACGGTGCCACCTCTTTTGATGCATCAAATCAGAACTATGCCATTAGGAACTTTCTAGATTGTTGTTCAAACAGTATTCTAAAAGTTAAAACTACTTAGTATTCTTTCAGATACAGCTATATCGGTATATTAGACGTCCCCAAGGAAAGAACTTCTACTTATGGTAAGAAAAAGGTAAAATAGGCTACAGCTAATCTGAGAAACAGTCTTCTGGACCATTTCAGGACGGAGAACATTTTTTTTTTCAATTCAAAATCTTGATTCAGTCTTGGAACAGCGCGAAAATTCGCTGTTCCGCATGCATTTTAGCTTTAAGTGTTTACTATTATACTCCCAGCTCGGCAACTCTTTATATTTGTTAACTATTGTTTATCAAATTCCTTTTAAAATATATATATGCACTTTTTATGTATATGTGACTTGCTCTGCTATTTCGAGCCTATTTCATATTTTACGATAATTATTTACCATTGCTAATCTGCATGTTCGTGATGCTTTGTTTTATGTATTTAAGTGTTTTTATTTACGTGTTTTTGTTATGTAAAAAGCTCACTAAACTTATTTTTATATGTTCATACGTTATTAAACGGGATAAAACAAGAAGGAGTCTGAGCAATCGCTTATGAACGCCTTCTTCGAAAGTGAATAGTGTATGTGCTTTCAAAGGATTTGTTGTATATATTATAGCTCTGAAAATCCTTCACAAACATAGCATCTGTAAAACTTCTTTCTGGTTTCCGTATGTTGGAAATTTTCGTAAAACGTCAGAAAGAAGCATACAATTTGCCGCAAATTTGTATCCGATGACGCTAAAAAAGTAGCACAGAATGTCAGAAAAATATGATGATAAGGAAAACATAATGCACACTCCACCTATTAATAAACAACTGCGCCAAGGGCGCATGATACGCCCTAATGGTGCATATTAAAATTTTTACAAAAATAAAATGGATATTTAGAAGGCATTCCATCAGAAGAAAATAAAATGGTTCCGTAGAAAACATGCATGAGGATAACCTTAGGCATATAAGTATTGAGTCAATCATGACTGTTAAAAGTCCCATAACTCTGGAAAGACAAACCAGAAAATTTTTAAAATCAAAAGAGTACGTTCACCAATCCAAACAACATTTTTCTGTTTGTAGTAATTTAATTCAATCATACCATAGCTAGTGTAGTACATTTAAAAATGCCTTTTATATATCTGACGGTCAAAGATCCATAATTCTGGAATGGCATATCGGATTTTTTTTTCAATTGAACGATCTGTTATGATGCATCAACTCCAACAATTATTTAAAGTTCTAAGTAAATTAATTTAAACAAACTCTAGTTATGGTACAACAGGTGAAAATAAAGGCAACAGTAGTATACCGCTGTTCAAAAGTCATAAATCGATTGAGAGAAAACAAATCCGGGTTTGAAAAATTTACTTAAATCTGACAATTACAGTCCCATAACTCTGGAACGGAAAATAAAGAATTAAAAAAATAGACAGGGAGCTTCCTTTGATCATGAGAAGTAGCTAAAGCAAATGTGAGTAATAGTACTCATGTGTGTTGACGAACGGACTGAAGGACGAACATTGGTTTATCACAATACGTCTCATCTTCGACGGGCGTATAAAAACCAATAACTTTCGGGAGCGTATCAGCTCATCAGGTAGCACGTGCCTAATAATAATTTACGGGATATACTAAATAGGTCGTTTTTATGATTAAGCACAATTATTGTGTAGGGTATTGATGAGTAAACTGGGCCGATTAACTCACAAACTGAATAAAGCATATCTAGTTTTATAGATCTGATATTTTTGTTATTTGTCACAATAGAGCATTTGGTCTAAATATGAAATGTACATACGGAAAAAAGTAATGTTGTAGATAATACGAATAAACGTATCAATTCTAAACCACACTGTAATTCATACCAGGAAAATATGCATAAGGACTTGAAAATTGCTTGTTTTGAGAATTTGAAATACCTTGAATTAAAATTCCAAAGGGCACATGTTCAATATGATGAACTGTGTGCCAACCGGTAGTAACATTTACAGAGAAAATCTGGTAATCATTGGTATTTAACTTGATCGTCATTTTCTGGTTAAACTCGTCGTTTTTGATAATATCATCATTAAGCCGAATACCTTGCGTAAACCCTAACTTGATGATAAACGTTGCAAGGCTTTTCATTGCGCCGTGTGGAATGATAAACTGATATTCGGGTAAATACTGTGTATCACTTGGAACAGTCACATCAATAGTTCCTGTATGAGGACTATGAATCTTTAGGAACAATAAAACATTTTGGTCTGCCGTTATGGCCGTTGTGTTCTTGTGGTTTGTGTTATGGTAGTTGTTTGCATTTAGGACGGTAGACACTACATTATTATCATCCTTTAATTCTAGTCTAGTTCTAGTATGCGCAAATATTCTTAGCCCCATAGTCTTAATTTCTTCTTGAAGTTTTGGAACAATGAATTGACGACTAAATTCTTTATAAGGTAGTAACGGAACTACCTCAGGAATAGAAGATTTAAACATTACAGCCACTGGGTAAGATGACGTAATATACGTTCCTGTAAGATAACACTCATCGCAGCTTATATAATTGTATATGTATGGATCTGTCGTAAATGACAATAACTGGCCCTTATGGTAAGTGCTTTGACGAAATGTAATGTTACTCAGAATCCACCGTGCCGATGTAAAATTAACATTGATTTGTGTATCCTCTTCGATTGCTATCACTCCAAGTGCATCAAACTTCTGCTGAGTTTTAAACTGTGGTACAACATATTGTGTAGATAACAATGCAGAGGGTATCGCAGTGTATGACTCCCAAATTGAGCCATAACTATCTTTGACAAAATTAAATAAAGTAATGAGGACGTCACAGAAAATACGAACGTGTACATCACTGCTTTCGGTATCGTTAGCAAAGTCATTGGATAAGCCAAATGCTACATATTCTCCTTCCAGTGTCAACGTTTTGGTTCGTTTAAAAGATGGGTAAATGATATCACAATGTCCATGCTTCCGGGATGACAGGTAAAGGGTAACTTTCCTCAGCCTCGGATTAAACACTACAAAGAACTGGTAACCTGAAGGACCTAGAAAATATAAATTGACTCAGTGTGAAAGACGCAATTATTAAAACATGAATGAGTTTCCCTGATATCGTAAATTACATATATATAGCACGTCTAACATGAATGGAACAAGATAGGTCAGTAAAAATTCTAGTAGTCAAATTTCTAATTATTAAGGTCGCTTTAATGAATAAAAAGTATTGCACAGAATGCACAGATAAAATAGGTATATTAGAGGATCAAGTTTCAGAACATTATCTATGCAGGAAATGGTAGAACCCTTCCTTCAAATTTGAAACCTGCACTAGAATTTTGCCTGTTTGAGCTTACGTCAGGTCATGCTGCGTACCATATGTTGTCAAACTGTTCACTAACATTACAACTATATCCCATTGTAGCAAGAAAAATTGTTTTGATGTGAATAAGCAGTCACGTCCGGTCTGAATGGGACGTCAAATCCGATGATTCGTATTGATTGAGTGTCACTTTAAGACCAGTTTCTGACAGGAAACAGTTTATCACCCTAAATCAGTTTTGGACAGTTCTAATAAGGAATAGTTTTGATGGGGGTCGTGTTGCTCAGTCTTGTAGTTTTGGACAGTTCTAATAAGGAATGGTTTTGATGGGGGTCGAGTTGCTCAGTCTTATTTTCTGTGTTTTGTGTACTGTTTTTGTTTTTGTTTGTTTAAATCGTTTTCGTTTTTATGCCATGGTGTTGTCAATTTGTTTTCGACTTATGAGTTTGAATATTCCTTTGGTATTTTTCGCCTCTTTTTGGAAAGTTCTAACTTCGAACATATCATGACAGTTCTACTTTAGAAGAGTTTTTGATAGTTCTAACCTTAAACAGTTTTAACCTAGAACAGTTTAGACAATTCTATCCAAGAATTGATTCTGACATTTCTACCCTAAAATAGATCCCACCCTAGAACTGATCCTCAAAGAACGTATTCTTGGGTAGATCGTGAACTGTCATAATCTGTTCTAGGGTAATGTCCTAGAAACAGTTCTAATTGACGTAAATTAGAGCAGCTCTGTGATTGCGATTAAGAACGAGTGGGGTTAAATGGATTTTCCTGGTAAATCATAATTAAGAGAAAAAAGATGAAATAGTAAAAATAATCATGGATTTATGATTTAGTTCTGTTATTTTTCCGTGTTTATATTATTATTTTTTAAGAAAAAATATGTGAATTGGGATATATTAACTAAATGCTAGATTTTTTGGAAAGATAAAAATGTTCTAGGGTAGAACCGCTTTTGTCAGAAACTGTTCTTAAAGGTGCTAGGAGAACTGTTCTATAAACTTTTTCAGATCTTTTTCCATGTGAGTTCCTGACGATTTTTAGAGGAGCTTAGAACTGATCCCAACTATTCGATTATATAGTTGTTTATATTTTGATACTATTAGCACTTGGTTTGTAGCGGATTCAGATAATAAACAAGGAGAGAATCAATTTATATTTTGATACTATTAGCTCTTGGTTTGTAGCGGATTCAGGTATAAACAAGGAGAAAATCAATTTATATGTTGATACTATTATCACTTGGTTTGTAGCGGACTCAGGTATAAACAAGGAGAGAATCAATTTATATTTTGATACTATTAGCACTTGGTTTGTAGCGGACTCAGGTATAAACAAGGAGAGAATCAATTTATATTTTGATACTATTATCACTTGGTTTGTAGCGGACTCAGGTATAAACAAGGAGAGAATCAATTTATATTTTGATACTATTAGCACTTGGTTTGTAGCGGACTCAGGTATAAACAAGGAGAGAATCAATTTATATTTTGGTTGTTCTAGACAAAATGAACAAAGGATATAAATATATAATAAATATATTTTGATCAGGTTTGATCGCCAATGAGAAAACTATTCGACAGAGACCAAATGCATAGATGTTAGCAACTATAGGTCACCGTTTGGTCTTCGACAATCATGAGCAAAACCCATACCGCATAGCAAGCTATAAACGGCTCGGACAAAAGACATGTAAAACAGTTCAAATGAGAAAACCAACGGCCTGCAAAAGATTATGTACAAAACAATTTAACTATCGAAAAACAAATAATATATACAGTTATAAACGACAACCACTGAATTACAGGCTCCTGACTTCGGGCAGGCACATACAGAATGTGGCGGTGTTACATTTTGTTAACATGTTTGAGGTTGCCCAACCGTCTCCCTAACCTTGGACAGTAGCAACAGCACAATACAAGAACATACTGTACAAATCAATAAACGAAAATCAAATGTAATATACCGCAATAAAAGACAACCACTGAATTACTGGCACATACAGAATGTAGGGGGCGACCAAACCATCCCCTAAGTCGGGACATCGTCCATTTGAAGTCTGGGGTGAACAAATAATAATGGGAACCGTCATTACATCTTATTTTTATTGTTCACCTTATCACGTTTTAAGAAGAGGACACATACTTTTGGTTCATTATATACCTCTATATTCACAATTTTTTCCCAGGTATCCATCTGCACATAAACAATATGAAGAATTGTCTGTAGTTATACACGTTCCTTCATGATGACATGGTACTGATGAAATACATTGATCTAAATATAAGACTTAGGAATCATAATAATATTATTAAAGAAATTTCATACTTTCGCAATTAAACACACATATATATATTCACTATTAAATACGTACCACTAAAAATCTCACTTTAGTTTTCTGAAAACCTTTAATAAGCACACTATGTAGCAAATCTACCTTAACATTTTAATACACATTGATGGACAAGTAAATTTTGACTCATTATATTTCTAATTAAGCAAATGTTTCATTCATGCAAATTAATTTGCTAGTTTTAGTAAACAAAATCAAAAGCACTATTTTGTAAGAGTAGGTCTACTTTTATGTTCTCAATGCTGATTGGTTGAATTGGTGGTGTGACACCTAAAGACTCAACGAACACAACTTGATAGATATTTTCAATAAGACCTTTAGATGTCTGAAAGGAACTTTCTCTGTTAATAATCTTTATTTTCAAAAGATATTAATACTATTTATCCAACGCAACTTATTCTTACAAAATTAAAGAAATCTTAATAGTGATCAATGTAAGAGTTTGATTCTAGAATTCCATGGTAATCTTTGTGCTTTAAAGGTCTAACAAACGGGGAGAATTTTACTTTTAAGTTATTGTATTTTCTTATTATTGTTGCTTTTCCGATCACTTCTTCTTATGGGTCGTACATTTCTCAGTTCGTATAATATGTGCATGTTACGGCTCAGATTCATTACTAAAATGTGTATACCCTGATCAGATAGAGGAGGGGTATACTGCTATACCTCTGTAGGTCCAATAACATTTTGGTCGTATTTTTCTCAGGAACTGCAAATAACAGCTTCCTTAAATTTGTTATCAATCATCATGTGAGCATGCTATAGATGAATTTTCATCGCTCATTAACTTCCTGTTAACCGACTAATTAAATAATAGCCATGTATGGAATTTTCGTCTCGTATTTTTCACCAAGTGTGTTTACCGATTTACTTAACGTTTTAGTTATCAGTAGCTAACAGTTCAACTTGTTTTATCAAGAATATAATTAGTATAAATTGGTCAACACTTTACACTATTGTTTACCAGAAATATAAAAATATGTTTTGAAAACATGATTCAACATCACAGGCACTTGTCTCTGAAAAACATTCCTATATACCTTAATATAGTTATTCCTATAAACCTTAATATAGTTATATTAAGGTATATAGGAAATTTTTTTCAGAGACAAGTGCTTGTGTTCAACATGCGGAATTTTTATTTCGGACAAAGGACTTATAGGTATAATAATATATAAAAAGTAAAATAACAAAAAATATCGAACTCAAAGGAAGATTCAAAACGGAAAGTCATTTATAAAATGACAAAATCAAAAGCTCAAACACATCAAGAGGATGGAAAAGAATTGTCGTATTCCTGACTTGGTACAGGCATTTCCTTAAGTAGAAAATGGTGGATCAAACCTGGTTTTATAGCTAGCTAAACCTCTCACTTGTATGACAGTCGCATAGAATTTCATTATATTGACAACAATGTGTGAGCAAAACAAACAGACATAATAGGTAAAAATGTCAAAAATTGGGGTACAGCAGTCAACATTCTAGCCCGATATATTTGGGATTGTCATTTAAGCTTTCATTTAGGCTGAGTAGACTTATCTTTTGAGGTTACAATTATGCAGTTGGCGTTCAACCGTTGCGTTTGTTATTTTTCGAATTATTATCAATTCTTTAATATATGGTCTGAAACAAACTGAACGTGGCTTATGTTTTCTTATCTCCTTAATTTTATGCATTAAAATTATAATATATATATTAGCATTGAGCATGTCACCAAATCCTTTCTTTTTGTAATCTTAATTAGATGTAGCTGTATTGTATGTACCCCGAAGTGCAGCTGCTGGTATTACAGTGTGCTTTGATATTTTGAGCAATTCCTTTCAGTAAACTGCGGGCATTTAATACGTTTATTATTGTTTTGATTGCACTTTTTTGTTATCTGTTTACCTGTATTATTTAGTTGCTGTTTCCGCACTGATTTTCATTGTACCTTCTTAAACATTAATATGTATGTATCTTCAAATCGAGATTAAAAAAAGAGAAGGGTTGAAATCTTTAAAAAAGATTAAGAGCTGCGCCGTGAGCGCATGATACGCCCGTCCCCCTTTTAGCTTGTCTTTATGCTAAAAATGAATTTCCATGATTTTTCTAAGAATAAAGTTCCATAACTACGCAATGTCATATCAGAAAAATATAAAAAAAAAACGAGCTTATTTCAATAAATATAAACAAGTCACCAAAATTTCATGAAAACTGTTCAAAGCGTTTTTGAGTTATTGTCCTAAAACTAGAAAATCCCCCTTTTTTAGGAAGAAAGTCCCAATACTCCTCAATATAATATCAGAAATTTAAAAAAATCGAAAGGGAACGTATGTCAATATATATAAACATTCACCAAAGTTTCATGAAAATTGCTAACAGCATTGTTGAGTTATAGTCAGAAAACGGAAAAATACCCCTTTATTTATGAATAAAATCCCATCACTCAGAAATGTAAATGCTAAAATTTTTAAAAATCGACAGGGACCTTACGTCAATAGATATAAACAATTAACCAAAGTTCCATGAAAATTTGTGAAAGCGTATATGAGTTATCGTCCGAAGTGTTGACGACGGACGTATGGACGGACAACGGTATACCATAATACCTTCCGTCTTGGACGGGCGTATAAAACCACACAGATTAAATTCGCTGCATGTTTATTTGTCTATCAACAGTCAGAAACCCCGTGACTGGTGGTCTTTAGTTACATGTATGTCTATTAGTTACATGTTTGTTTAAAAAGAAAAATCATAAGTAAATTAACCAGAGACTACCAAAGGTTTTTCTAAAAGAGCCTGTGTAGTCACTGTTAAAATTATTCACAACATTTCTAGAATTCGGGCTATTCAGAGCTTGTATTTTTTTAAAGACACTTGTCTATTGTTAAAGACCGTTTTATTTAGATATCTCTAGATATCTTATTTTGGTTTTTCTTGGAATACGTTGTCATTTTCGAATACCCACCATCTCTTTTAATTCATATTTCATGAGATGTTACAATAATTTATGTTAAATCTATGAACTGAAAAAGTACAATTCAAATGTATTTCAGTCATACTAAATACAAAAACGCTGGCTATAAGGTAGACTTTATCCTCAGGTTCCGACAGCCTTCCAGCAGCGGTACTGACGAAGTGATGATGCTATTATATAGTAAATATGTCTCTTGTATTTGATGACAGCTCTTACAACGTTTCATAACCGATAATGTTTCATATTTTTTATTCAGAAAAGCTGGGGTAAGCAAAATTTTGAGCTGTAATTCAACAATTCACCAAGATTATCACTGATGTTTGTCTTTTCGTCGTTTTCGTTTTTTGCCTTGCAATGTCAGTTTGTTTTCCACTTATGAGTTTGAATATTCGTTTGGTATCTTTCGTCTCTCATTTCTTATAACATAACAAGACATAATATGGCAATCATTATGTCAATAAAAATGAAAGTATACAATGTATACCCAGATTTCGTTTAGCTGTTTGATAATTTATGTGACTTGAAACTTATAAAACACTATTTGAAATTATTTAAACTAAATACAGTTTTCTTTTTAATTTCTGACAATTAAAGCTAAATTAATTGCCATATTTTCACTTTCGATCAAAAGGCAAAAACTGTGGATAAAAATAAAAAATCCCTAAAAAATTTAATCATGATACAAACATGCACAATAGGTCACCAAGCACAGCGACAACCTTGATTGTATTCGCTGTGCCTGTTAACACTTAAACCAGAGTTACGAGAAGTTTATTACCGTCGAATGCACGCAAAATCATGCATATTAACTCGACGATTAGTTATTTGTACTGACCTTACCTTGAATTTGACAGGAAGTACCCAGGAAACCTTCTGGACAAATACAAATATGCGAATCATTGAACATTATACAGTGACCATTGTTAAGGCATGGGGAATCTTTACACGTCTCTAAAACAAATATACACAAAAACTGTAAAAAACCCCAAACCATCCATATACTCATGAATACATACAATTAAGTATGTATTACGTGCACTAATGGCACTACTGGTTATATACAGAATTTTACTACCAAGCAGGAAATCTGAAAGCTGGTAAAATTAACATTTCTCCTTCAACGGTTTTTACAGATTTAAACTTATTTAGTTCAGAAAACACTAAAGTGTCAATGACATATAAAACTATATTAACTATTTTGTTTTATGCTGCAATTACCTCACAGCAGGAAAAGAAGAAACTGCCAACTCTATTGTGTATGTGCTACGTAAAGGGAACAATCACATCAGATGCCTCAAATTGATCAAAATTTAGATGTAAACATGCATACATTGATTATTTTTACGATTTTTGTTTTTGCATGCAGTCTTTATGTGTTCCAATATATTAATTTTATAAATAATTATTGGTAGTTTAATTATCACCAGCTGAGTGGACAGTATTTCGGCACTGGCATGAAAATACGGATATTGTTGTATTTAAATTTGGTGTTATAAAATTTCCAAATCATTTCAAATTAAGGAATTTATCTCCCTTCATGCATAGCTCTGATTCCTTGTCTTGGGTTTGGTTTTACTTTTGATCTTTTTGTGTTTTATTTGCTTTTCAACGTTTGTATTTTGTTTTGGACTTCCAAAATAGTTTGGCCCCATTGTCAGAATGCGCTTCTTGTGTGAACAGTTAATGTTATTCTAAACAAAATTTAAATTAAATTTTTGGAAAGTCCTAAAGAAATTTGGATTTTGCCGTTTGAAATCGCAACCTCAATAATAAAGAAGTAAGTAATAAATATATTACCTTCGTTTTGAACACTTTGTTTTGATGACGGCTTGTAAACAACCACCAAAGGAGCTATAATACATGCCGATATCACACATCCTATGATGAATAACATGAAGTACTGATTTCTGTCAGATCTCTTCTTAATTGTTGGCATATCAAAGTTAAAGTACACCCTGCTTGAT